ATGGGGTCCTAGAAACGGACGAGAGAGCTAAGGTGTAACCAAAGTCTTATCAAATAATCGCTTTGACAGGACCATCAGTTATGGAGCATTTCAGGGATGACAAGTGGAGCTCAATAGTAACACTGCATTAGCGCTAAACGGTTCCTGTTCATGTGAGCTGATATGAGTGTTTTATTTATTCAGCAAAAAAGTGACCTGAATCATCCTTTAAGTTTATTTCCTAATGTGTCCATGTAGCGCACATCCGGAAGCTTACATGTCACGATGGTCCACCAAGGGCATAGAGTATGCGATGGTACAGCCATGTTTTTCCTGCACCCATCACTAAGTCAAAAAATCTGGGAAGGTTTCAATGAGTAGATTTTTTAGGTAAAGCTTAGAACCTAGCAGACGCTCCGGCTTGGAGGTTAGGGGGACTGATTAACGGTGCTCATGTACAATATTTTATTCAGGGTTCGGCTAACATCTTGAAAGGGAATGATATATTTATTGTCGGCAAAAGACCTATTATTTTCAGTAATGCAACTTAACCAAGGTTCTCAGCAACAGCTAGATTAGATACTGACCCGACGGTCATGTGCACTCATTAGTGGTGCATAGTTCAGATATAGTATCAAAGGACAGGCTTGAAATATTGTCAGGGATAATTTGTGATTGCATATGGCTTACAGAAGCAATACATGAAGGGAACCCGTAGATTTCTTCATACAAGTCCATCAGAAATTAGAAGGCATTAGTGATCAACGAAGGTGCGAAAATATACTAGGGTCGACAGTGTCCCACTCTAATCATCTAAGGATTCAAGCAAATTCGATCTTCTAGCAGAATGGTTCACTGACCCAGACCTTTCTAAATGGTCTATCAGGACTGGTAGGCAGTAGGAAATCACAAACACTGGGAAAGACTGCTGAATCTAGACATAGTTCTCATGCAGACAACCATCACTGGGACACCCGCCATAAAGGCACTGCCTTTAGAATAGCCAACCAAAAGGTAATTGTAACATACAGAAGTTGGATTGTACCCAAAGTATCTGTAGTACTAAAGTGCTACCCATTAATCATGAATTTCAGAGTGATGTTGGAAGGCGAAAAATATTTATTGTGGAAGAAAAAGGTGTTCACAAATCTTCGAAGTTTTGATTGCGCTAGATAATACCTGGTAATCAAGTATTTAATAATGTTATGCACTTTTAGCCGTTAGACTCTGTTTTTTGAAACAGGATCCATATCCCAAATGCTTGTCCCAGATCGGCTTTTATTCATCCTCAGCAAACATGTCAATGCAAAGCGATGGGTCGCTTGTATTCAAATGGACCTCAGTTACTTCCAGACTGCAGACCCCGTTCAAGTTTGGCGCAACCTTGAAGGAAATAATGTCCCTAGAACGTGACATGTATTTCCTGGCTCATCGAAGGATATTCCAGTATAAATACAAACGCTCGAAAAGCTGTCACAGTGTCATTCTCAACACACAAGTGGAAGCAATGAGTCTGGGAACAACAGCCCCTCAGGGCCCACCCAGGAGTGTTTAGGTTGCCACGACCCCTGGGGATGTAGGTGTTGGTGGACAGTGATAGGGGTCGGGGTCAGAGCGCATGCAGAAGCGCACAGTTAGCGCAGAAGTCCACCAACTGCGCAAGAGTCAATATCTAAAGTCCTCCCAACCTTGGTGTGGCCTTCAGAAAGCTCCCAACACAGTGCGTAAGTACTTCATTTAATTCCGTGGGTTTCCATGGCCGAGCAGCTGCATCCAAAGGCTTACATCACCCAAATGCAAATGCAAAAGAAGCGTGGTGGATTCCCGTGGGTAGGTAGAAGGACAACGGCCCGTCGCCGCCACTAAGGACTCTAGATCAGTAGGAGGCATGTAGCTCTGGAATGACCAATCACACGCTTCTATCTCTTTCATGGTGTGGCCACTTACCGTTTGGGCACGTGTCAGAGTTTGGGGGCGGGTTAGTTGCAGTGAGAACGAACCATGCCTAGCCTGCATTGTGCCAGGCCAGTGGGTAAAGGTTTATGGTTGTCAGGGGTGAGATAATATGGTGTGGGAGTTGGGGAGTATTATCTGCAGGGTTTGGGCTTGGCCGCACACCCTAGTGTTCCACCCAGTGAAGTAAACCTCTTAAGGGTGAGAGAGTGGCGACAATTTTGGCCCAAGTTTCATGCTGCCCAACTTTGTGTGTGAATGAGTTTAGGGGCATGGCCCCCCCGGTATCGGCCCCCCCTATCCTGATTCCAACATGAACTGTGTGCGCACAGTGCATTGCACAAAGCAAAGGACCAAAAAGACGATAAAGAATAAGACATGAAGGAGGAGATCGCAGTTATGGGTGGAGAACTTGACAGTCCTGCACAGAGAGTCCAGACCTAGGACGACTCCGCCATATCACCAGCCATTGGTGGGCTGACTAACGTGGAGTCGGTAATAGACGGCTGCGGAGGCCCCACGGTTCCAACCTCCTCTCCCTTGGCGCCCGACGAGTCAGGTTATGCACATTCGCCAGCACGGCTCTAAAATGAGACGGACCTGGAAGCAAAATGTGCTTCTGAGGAAAAATGGTCCAACCTTCGCCATGCAATACACCTCCAATACAAAACGAAAAGCAATCAGCAACCCGCTAATAACCCACAGCGCTGATGAGGTAGAGCAGCCACAAACAGCAAAGGCCACGGCAAAAATTTCACCAATACTGGGATCCTGTCCCCCGTGAGAGAGTACGCCCCAAATAGCCCCCACCCTCTCCTCCAAAACCTGAGTCCGGTTGGGGGGCTTGTTACGTGGACTTCCCCCGTAGGCGGCGGGTGTTGACTGAGGTGGGCGGGCGGGCATCGTCTTGGTGGACAGGGCTGGAGGGTGGACTGAACTAACGTGGCGGGGCCTTTTCGCCGCAGAAGAGTTGAAGCTGTTAAACCGGTCGAGGCCTCGAGCAACCGGGAGGGCGAACCAGGCGACGCTCCGTGCGTGCCGATCGTGGTCTGAGTTTGGGATTGGAGGTTGTGGGATCCCGCCAAGCTTAATGACCGGCTCGCTGAGACTCCTACAATCCGCCCAGAATCGGGGGGGATCCCCTACCGAGACTGTCCTACGACGTGTGGAGGTAGCGCCCTTGGCCGTGACATGAGTAGGTAAGGTGATTGGAACGGTGCGGGGCAACACACATATTGACAACCAGCAGGTACGACTACGACAGGGGGGGCCGAAAACCAGGACATGAGCGAGGACAGGGCCTGTTCCAACTCCCATAATCGAACCCTACTGACTAAAGAATGGGGGGGGGGGCCATTAAAGGATCAGTTAGAGAGAACGGGCAGGGTGTCCAACCTACTATTGACCCCAACATGAGACAAAGACTGGGGGGTGCAATATACAGGTGTCATGAGAGGATGTTGGAAATGGCAGGTGCCAACGTCAAAATTGAGCACCCTACGCGGATTAAGGCCTGGGAGAGTGCCCATAGATGTCCGTAGCGGGAAAGTGCGTGGCCAAACGACAATATATGTGAACCCCACGGACTAAGACTGTGTTGGGGGCCATTCTCGTACATGTGTGTGAAAGGGGAGGGCGAGGGCCAACATAATATATGAATCCCTCCACAGACTGAATACTTGGGGGGCCATTAAAAGGTCATGTGAATGGAGGAAAGGGGGGCGTGGGGCCAACTCAATAATAGAAACCCTAACACGGATTAAGACTGGGGGGGCCATTAAAGGTCATGTCTTTGTGGAAAGGTGCGGGGCCAAACTCATATTGGAACCATTGATGGATTAAGCACTGAGCGGGGGTGCCATTAAAGTTCACGTGCGGGCCTAACTCAATATTGTAACCCTGATCGACAAAGACCTGGGAGCCATTAAAGGTCATGAGATGGAAAGTGCTGGGCCAACATCAATATTGTGAACCCGCCTACGTGACTAAGACAGGGGGCCATTAATAGGTCATGTGTGTGCAAAGGGCGGGGCCAACTCATATTGAACCATACGGATTTAGACTGGGGGGCCATGAAAGGTCACGTTTGCGGGGAAAATGGCGTTTCCAAGCTCAATATTGACACCCAAAACGGACTAAGACTGGTGAGGTCCAATTGAATGTCATGTGGTTGGTGGAATAGGCCCCGGGGGCCCGGATACTTGGGGGCAATATAATGTACACAACACATCTAATCCTAAGATAACATGGATCACACATATAATTATTCGTTCTATTTATTCCCCCGCAAAGCCCGGATATTACTACTCTCGCCATCCCATCTCTCGGTAACATTTACGAGCGGAGGGGCGGCACACACCACCCTGCACAATATCATGAATCATATCGACGTGGCCGTCCTTCCTCCGCGTCCTGTGATTGGAAAAAGAAATCTGGCTGTTTATTCTCCCTTCAAGGCCGATAGTAACGTTAAAAGCTGCACGCTACACACATTGCACTTGTGTTTAGGGACACGGTTACCAGGGGCAATCAAGGGGTTCACCCCTTCCCCAGCCAGTGTCCAGTAGCACCAGATTGCCTGCCGCACTATCACAGCACCAACCCGCAACACAAGACACTGATCACCGTCATAGCTGCATAAATCCCAGTATTTGATCCCTAGGGTTGTATTAATAACTTTTACACAAAATCAAATCAATATACACTTATTGGTGGAACTTGTTTTTTTGTTTTTTTAACCAAAGACATGTTAGAACGAATTTTGGCCTAAAATTTATTTGTAGAAATTAGATTTTATTCTTGCATGCGTCTTATAATAAAATGTAGGAAATATAGGTTTTTTCAAAATTTTTCATTTTTTCTTTCATTTGAATAATAATCGTCATCATCATCATCCCAGTGGTGATCAAATACCACCAAAAAAGTTGTGAGGGGAAAAAAAAAAAAAAAAGGATATAAATTTTCTTTGGGTACAGCGTTGCATGACTGCGTAATTGCCAGTTAAAAAGTTAAAAGAGCACAGTGCTGAACAAAAAAAAAAATGCCCTGGTCATGAAGGTGTGTGGTAATGCCTTTTGGAGGACAAAGTGGTTACATGTTAACACCCATCACAGGTGCCCCTATCATTGGGTGCCAGTTGGGAGGAATAGTGCCCCATCATTGGTGTCAGTGGGAGGAATAGTGTCCCATCATTGGTATCAGTGGGCTGAATAGTGCCCCCCATCCTTGGTGCCAGAAAGAGGAATAGTGCCCCAATGTTGGTGCCAGTGGGAGGAATATGGTGCCCCATCATTGGTGTCAGCTGGGAGGAATGGGCAGGAATAGTGCCCCATCATTGGTGTCAGTGAGAGGGATAGTGCCCCATCATTGGTGTCAGTGGGAGGAGATAGTGCCCCATCATTTGGTATCAGTGGGAGGAATAGTGCCCCCATCCTTGGTGTCACCGGGAAGGATAATGCCCCATCATCGGTGTCAGTGGGAGGGAATAGAGCCCCATCATTGGTGTCAGTGAGAGGAATAGTGCCCCATCATTGGTGTCATGGGAGGAATAGTGTGCTCATCATTGGTGTCAGTGGGAGGAATAGTGCCCCATCAATGGTGTCAGTGGGAGGAATAGTGCCCCATCATTGGTATCAGTGGGAGGAATAGTGCCCATCATGGTGTCAGTGGGAGGAATAGTGCCCCATCATTGGTGTCAGTGGGAGGAATAGTGGCCCCATCATTGGTATCAGTGGGAGGAATAGTGCCCCATCCTTGGTATTGGTGGGAAGGAGAGTAGTTCATGGGTCAAACGGGAAGGATAAATGCCCCATCATTGGTGTCAGTGGAGGAATAGTGCCCCATCATTGGTGTCAGTGGGAGGAATAGTGCCCCATCATTGGTGTCAGGGAGGAATAGTGCCCCATCATTGGTATCAGTGGGCTGAATAGTGCCCCATCATTGGTGCCAGAAGAGGACTAGTGCCCCATCATTGGTGTCAGTGAGAGGGAAATAGTGCCCCATCATATTGTGTCAGTGGGGTGGGAATAGTGCCCCATCATTGGTGTCAGTGGGAGGAATAGTGCCCCATGTTTGGTGTAGTTCAGTGGGAGGAATAGTGCCCCATCATTGGTGTCAGTGGGAGGAATAGTGCCCCCATCATTGGTGTCAGTGAGAGGGATAGTGCCCCATCATTGGTGTCAGTGGGAGGAATAGCGGGCGCCCCATCCTTGGTGTCAGTGGGAGGGATAGTGCTATTGGTGTGTCAGAGTGCCAGATAAAAAGGCAAGCAAAGAAAGGGCTACAATCCAGCCCAGTTTTGGAGCCCCCCTTGCTCCATAACTACCCCCCTACTTGGTGCCCAGCACTGCTTAATATACTGAATTACAAAACAGAGCTACAGAAACTGCCCATAAAAGTGAAATAAAAAAACGGCACAAACCCCAAGTGGCTCCATGCCGAGCCCTCCCCACAGTCCAAGTTCATAGAAGGTGACATACTTACAACTGAAAGTGAAAAAAAAGTCAGCCGGGAGCGGAGACCTGCGGGGGTTGTGTGCCAGAGACCCCTCTCTATACACGCTCAGTGGCTCCTATACACGCTCAGTGGCTCCTATAACACGCTCAGTGGCTCCTATACACGCTCAGTGGCTCCTATACACGCTCAGTGGCTCCTATACACGCTCAGTGGGTCCTATACACGCTCAGCAAGTTGGTTCTTCTACACTTTGCTCGCTGGTAACCCTAATCCCCCCCCCCCCCCTCCCCCCCCCACCCCCCCTCCCTCGCACTGCTCGCCATCCAACCTGATTTCTCTTCTAAATCCCAAATCAGACGCTGTTGGCAAAAACTAATCTCTGAATGGAGACAGGGCAGCGGCCAATCAGGGCGTAGCAGAGGAATATCGTATGTTACTGACGTTGAAGCTGCAGAGAAGCAGATGTGCGGGGGAGCGGGGAGGTACTTTTAGTAAAGCGGCTCGGCAAGTTTTTTTTTTTGTAGCTCAAGTTCCTGCACTAGGGGGGGGGGGGGGGGGGGGGGGGGGGGGTGGGGGGGGGGGGGGGAAGGGGGGGGGGGGGTGGAGGGGGGGGGGGGGACCTGCAGAGAGGGACGTCCGGGGATGAGGCGACGCACTTTGTACAGCTACGGAAATCTGGCGGACAAAAGGGCGACGTTCACACAAAGAACCCGACACAATGTAGCAGAACAGAATAGGTACAAACCAAAATCGGGACATTTTAACAGAGGAAGGGCTGGGGGGATGTCATGAAGTGCAGACCCCCATACTGGATTTATTCTGTGGTCACTATTATATGGGGGGGGGGGATGGGGGGGCCATGGGAACTCGAGGATTGTCCCTTGTGTATATAAAGCTGCAGGAACATGTAATGGGGGGGGGGCAGCCAGAACACGAAAGGAGCAGTCCATCCTGACACAGGTATGGGGGAGGGGGGGGGGGAGGGGGGTGGACGAGCTGGGGGGACCAAGGACCTGAGGAAGGGGATCGATAACCGGGTGGGGGACCGGCAGGCGGGGACCAATAACCGGCAGGCAGGGTCCGGGGGGGGGCAGAGATGCCCAGGGGGGACACGACCGATACCGGCAGGCGGGACTGAATAACCGGCAGGGACACAGGGGGGGAAGGGCGGGATAACCGGAAGGGACCAGCAGGGTGGAGTATTGGATGGTGGTAAGCAGGCGAGAAGTGATAACCGGCAGGACTGGCTTGGCGAGAGGGAGAGGATAACCGGCAGGTGGGACTGGATCAGGGGGATAACCGGCAGGCGGGGGGGATGACCGGGCAGGGGACTGGGCAGGTCCACTATCGGGACCGGGCAGGCGGGACACCGGGGGGTGGGGGGTCGAATGACCGGGGGTGGGCACTGGCAGGCTGAGAACGACGTGACCGGCAGGGCGGAGAGAGTGATAACCGGCAGCGAGGGACGGATAACCGGCGGGTGGGAGGGTTGGGGGGACCGGGCAGGAGAGGACCGATGGGGGGGGGAGGGGGAGACTGCGGGGGGGACCGGCAGGGACTGGGGGGCAAGACCGTTAACCGGAGAGACCTGGGGCAGGACCGATAACCGGCAGGGGAGGACCGATGACCGGCAGGGGGTGGCAGGCGAGACCGATAAACCG